GTCTGGAGTCAGTTTCATTCACTCAGCCTGGAGTCAGTATCATTCATTCAGTATCATTTACTCAGTTAACTTTTCTTATGAAACCCTCACAAACTACAAGAGAGGAGATTCCATCTGAACATGAGGAAGAACTTCCTGACTGTGAGAGCCATTTAGCAGTGGAACTCTCTGCCCCGGAGTGTGGTGGAGGCTCCTTCTTTGGAAGCTTTTAAACAGAGGCTGGATGGCCATCTGTCAGGGGTGATTTGAATGCAATGTTCCTGCTTCTTGGCAGGGGGTTGGACTGGATGGCCCATGAGGTCTCTTCCAACTCTTTGATTCTATGATTCTATGATCTCACGTCAACAAATATGTTACTTTTTTCATATACCCTTGGCTGAACTATTTTCTGACTTAGGCCACATTGGCGCCTTATTTTTCTTTAAACCTTGAGCTCTATTTTCCCGACTGCTTCTCTCTAACCGAGGTTTCTAACTCTTCCCCCCACTTCTCTTTTTTCAGCTGTCAAACTCTAACTGCTTCTTTCAAACTTGACTCCGCCCCTTTAGAATGTTCAGTTTTGTAACTGCCATTCTGGCTCAGCGGCCTTTTCGAATCCTGGCATACTCTCATCTGCATACGACCAATCGGCTTCACATATGCAAATTAATCCTGCCTTCACTGTTGCTACCCTATCAGCCATATTGTAACCTAGTGCTACACACCAAAAATACAACATAGATAATAAAATTCACTGCAAGCACACTAAAAGTTAATTATTAACAGAGGCTGGAGGCCAGCCTGCAAGCCTTTTGCTGTTATTGGTTTGAAAAAGTATATTTTGGTCTAGAGACCGCCCTTTTTCCTGGGGATGAGATCTCCATTTTGGAGAAGCTCTCCTGACTTCTTCAGTATACGAAAAGCCTCAGATGTGCTTGTGGTCAAGCTAGGCAGCTCGGACATGACAAAAAAAATTCTAATATTTATTTATTTATTTACCCTGCTTGTATACCGCAGTTTCTCAGCTCATAGGCGACTCAACGCGGTTCACAACAAGAGCAAAAAGTCAGTCCAACAGGCATACAAAATTTAAAACCATTAAACAACATAATATACAGGGTAATAACACATCAATACCAACACATTAGCGTCTCGTAACTAGAATCATGATCCAAATAGCATTACAAATCATATAACCTGGGTATCACTGGCTACCTGAGCTTGAATATGAAAAGGAATAACTGAGTTGCCATTTTGACATTCCAGAGAACTCTTTTCTCCGGCCTGTTCCATGGTTTGGCTGAGCATTTGCAACATAGGCTGCAACGTAGGCTGCACAGTGCTGAGCGAAGCCTGCAAGAACAAAGCCTAGAAAAAAGAAGGAATGGCTGTTGGCCAGTTGGTGGTTTGCTGTGGATGGGATGCCGGAATCTCCCTCCCATTTATTGCGAGCTGTTCCAGGGGTCCCTCGTGAACGATTCCAGCCTTTAATACACATTACAGGCAATTCTCTGTTCTTGACACATCTGGATAATTGCATTTTCTGACTTCCTGCTCCGGGGATTGAGAAAACAAGCTTGGATGCCCACGTTCCATCATCTCCAGCTTGTGTAGATACAGGTCATGTTGTGATTTAGCTGGACTCAGGCTGGATCTACACTGCCATAGTTAAGGTGATACAGTTGGGGATACTGTTTTATTGTTTAATTAATGCTTCATGTACTGTTTTAATTAATGTTTTATGTGTTTTAAATTGTTGATATGTAGCGGCATCGAATCATTGCCAAATGTAAACCGTTCTGAGTCACAACATGACCTGTATTCTACCCGCACCTAAAACATCTATAAGAAGAGCAGGTATCAAGATTTGGGTTTACGATGGATGAAGATATTGTGGAAAGCAACTTTTGAGTAACTACAGAGAAACATATACTACGGGACCATAGGAAGTCATCCAATGGTAGAAGAGTAAAATCTTACATTATTTATTTATTATTCATTTATTTACGACATTTATATGCCACCCTTCTCACCCCAAAGGGGACTCAGAGCAGCAACAAGTAAAAAGTAAATACAATATATTATATTATTACCATAGCACAATAGTAATAATATAATATATTATTACCATAGCACAATATAATGTTATAGTATATATTGTACTATAGCATTATATTGTAATATTATTAGTAATATTACATAATATTACATCTATATAAATAAAAATGTAATGTCCATTTGTGCTATTCACAGAACTCAGAAACCACTGGGGCAATTGACACCAAATTTGGACACTATGTCCCTAACAACCCAATGTATGTTCTCCACTCAAAAAAACAACGGAAACAAAAAGCAGAAAGGACTTCTAAACTGCATGTCCACAAAGGAGAAACTGCATGTCTACCGAGACCCATGGTCACACACACCCCCCTCCTCGTGGGGAAACAGCTGGCCGTTAAAGCCAGGCGCACGTGCATGTCCACACACACACACACATACAAGCGAGTGGAGTATCAGGAGAGCAGTCTCCTCCTCCTTTCCCTGTTGAAAAGTGCCAGCAGCAGCAACGGAGTGCTCCACGCAAGGAAGAAGGGGAGGAGGAGGAGGCGAGGACGGTCCACGGTGCTTGAATGAAGGACCTTCCTTCTCTCCTTCCCTACCCTCCTTTCCTCCCTTTCCTTTTTTTCTTTCCTTCTCCTTCCTTTCCTTCTTTCCTTCCTTCCTGTCCCTCCTTCCTTTTTCCTTTCCTTCTTTTCCTTCCTCTCTCCCTCCCTTTCCTCCTTCTTTCCCTTTCTTCATTTCCTTCCCCTTCATTTCCTTCCCTCCCTCCTTTCTTCACCCCCTCCTTTCTTTCCCTTTCTTTATTTCCTTCCCCTTCATTTCCTTCCCTCCCACCTTTCTTCATCCCCCTCCTTTCTTTCCCTCCTTCCTTCCTCTTCCTTTCCTTCTTTCTATGTAAGATATAAATACAATATTAAATGGAAGGGACAGTCAAGAAGTAACGAGAGAAGGAGGGAAAGAGAGGAAGGAAGGAGAGAAGCAAGGAAGAAGAGAAGGAAAAAAGGAAAGGAAAAGAAGGGAAGAGAGAAAAGAAAGAAGGAGAGGACAGGAAGGGAGGGAAGGAAGGAAGGAGAAGAGAAAGAAAAAGGGGAAAGGAAGGAAAGAGATAGAGAAGGAAGGAAGAAGAGAAGGAAAGACGGGAAGGAAGAAAGGAAAGAGGGGGTGAAGGAAGGAGGGAAAGGAGGAGAGAAAGAGGGAAGGTTGGCCACAGCAAAGCGTGGTGGGTACAGCTAGTCTATATAAATAAAAATGTAACATATTGTAGTACTATTAGTATTATATTGTATTCCATTATAATATTATAATATTATATGTATATACCTACTTGTTTTATTTATATTATATTAGCTCTACCCGTCACGTGTTGCTGTGGCCAACCTTCCCTCCCTCTTTCTCTCCTTCCTTCTTTCCCTTTTTTTCTTTCCTTCTCTCCTTCTCTTCCCTTCCTCCCCCCTCCCTTTTTCTTTTCCTTCCTCTTTCTCCCCTTTCTTCCTTCTCTACCTATCTTGGACTGCAACTCCCAGCAGTCCTCCTACCTACCTATCTCTATCTAATCTATCTATCTGGATGATTGCTGGGAGTTGCAGTCCAGGAATAGGAAATTGGAAATATACAGGGATTGGGATGCTCTCAAAGAAATCCAAGGAGAAGAAAGCATGCATCTGGGAAGCAGTACATTTGGACCATTCTCCTCTCGAGGGTAGAGAAGAGACGAGTAGAAATACCAGAAATAAATAAATAAATAATAGAATCCCGTTTCAGAATGCAGATGGACTGCACTGAACTGGATTTATATGGGAGTGTAGACTCCCATAATCCAGTTCAATGTGTGTCCTTTGTTCGATCTCTGAAAATAAGTGTAAATACAAATAATAGGATTTACAGATGTTGTACAAAAGCCTTATGAATATCTGCACCTCAATTAAATAAGTGTAAATAATGCCATGAAACTGTATTGAGAAGCAATGATAGTAAAAAGCTGTTATAAATGTTAAAAGGGCCTTACTTGTGTCCTAATTCGTGGGCAATGGTGAAGGCCAAGTTCAGTCCGTTGTCTTCGGCGAGGACACACTTCCGCTTGGCACTGCAGATGCCCCCCAGGTAGGCGATGCCTGCAAAATACAGCCAAAACTTCACCAATGGCAACTAAAGCCATCCGTTTCCTTTTAATCAAATCACCGGCGGGGAAAAGACTGAACATGGAACACTTGAAAAGTTGAGACTATGAAATGGGAAATAAAACTCCCAGAAAGTTCACAAATGCCCTGAAAAGGAAAACACTTGAAAGCGTGGCTCCTTCCATCAAGAATAAGAAAGAGAGAAGGCATACACATTTTCGGACAGAGTTCTTCAACCTGGGATCGGGACCCCTGTGGGGGGGGGGTCGCGAGGGGGGTTACAGAGGGGTCACCAAAGTCCATCAGAAAACACATATTTCTGATGGTCTTGGGAACTCCTTTGGTAGAAAAGGCCGAAGATCTCTCACCTGTCCTTCTCTTCCTTTTTGGAAGCAGATGGTGAAACCTCCCATCAAAAGCCCTCCTCCTGCTCTCAGGAGGTAGTGAATTACAACTTCAAAACTCAAGGTCAATGCCCACCAAACCCCTCCAGTATTTTCTGTCAGTCATGGGAGTTCTGTGTGCCAAGTTGGGTTCAATTCCATCATTAGTGGAGTTCAGAATGCTCTTTGATTGTAGGTGAACTATAAATCCCATCAAAAGCTCTCCTCCTGCTCTCAGGAGGTAGTGAACTACAACTCCAAAACCCAAGGTCAATGCTCACCAAACCCTTCCAGTATTTTCTATCAGTCATGGGAGTTCTGTGTGCCAAGTTGGGTTCAATTCAATCATTGGCGGAGTTCAGAATGCTATTTGATTGTAGGTGAACTATAAATCCCAGCAACTACAACTCCCAAATGATAATATCAATCTCCCCCAACCCCCACCAGTATTAAAATTTGTGCCAAATTTGGTCCAGTGAATGATGATACATCCTGCATATCGGATATTTACATTACGATTCATAAGAGTAGTAAAATTATAGTTGTGAAGTGGCAACGAAAATAATTGTTATGGTTGGGAGTCACCACAACATGAGGAACGGTATTAAGGAGTCACGGCATTAGGGAGCTTGAGAAACACTGTGCTAGAGAAATACTTGATCCCACGTGTGCACTCCTACATGACAATATCAATTCCCCTCAACCTCACCAGTATTCAAATTTGGGTGTTTTGAGTATTTGTGCCAAATTTGGCCCAGTGAATGACAATACATCCTGCATATCAGATATTTGCATTACAACATTACACTTATGAAGCAGCAACGAAAATAATGTTATGGTTGGGGGTCACCCTGGGGCGGCTCAACCCATTACACAAAGTAAGTATTTGAACTATAGTTGATTTTGCCCAGGGGCGCTCTTGAGGTGCTCTTGGGGGAAAATAGACCTTGACATATGCGAGTTGTAATTACTGGGATGTATAGTTCACCTACAATCAAAGAGCATTCTGAACTCCACCAATGATGGAATTGAACTAAATACGGCACACAGAACTCCCACGACGAATAGAAAATATATATCCGTGATTGGTTTGGGGGGGGGGGGGGGGGGGGGGCGCCAGATACTGTTTGCTTACCATTGAAAATTACCTAGGGCCACCTCTGGGGTCACTACAACATGAAAAACTGTACTAAGGGGACGCGGCATTAGGAAGGTTGAGAAACACTGTTCTAGGACAATTTTTAAAATGTTATACTATTTTACACCATTAGATCAATTTGGAAAAACGTGATGAACAACATAAACGCAATGAATCGTCAATGAATAGTCAACACCATGAATAGAGGTGGGAAAAGACCACTTAAAAGACCCCAAAATGACAAATCTCCATCTATTAAGTGTCACTAGCTCATTAATTTCAATATCTATTAACACCAAAATTAACCAGTGCATGGATGAATCAAGATGCCAAATTGCTTACTTTTGTATTGGAACCAAGATTAAACACATTAAGAGCTAATTACATTAACAAACACTAGGCAGGTTTCTACAAAGCAGGTAAATCTCAAGCTCACTTGGGAAGATCCTCAATGGTTTCCATTCCAAATCCTGTGGATGAAACATCCCTTTAGCTTTCATGATGCTTGTTCTGTCTTCCAGGAGCATTGTTTACATTGCCTTTTAGCTGCATGGGATAGCATTCCTTTGCATTTTCCCAGGGTTGCTACAGACTCAGCAGCACCCTGGAAGTTAAACAGTATCAGAGTCTGGAGAGCCAGGGTGCAGGCTCTCTGCAGTTATTGGTTTAGAAAGTATCTTTTTGGGTTAGGAGTCCGCCCTTTTTCCTGGGCTTGAGATCTCCATTTTGGAATTTCCCCTGCCTCCTTTAGTAGAGAAAAGAACCTCAGATGTTCTGTTGGTCAAGCAAGGAGTTCTGAAAAACCCATTGTGAGTACTATTGAGTTATAGATAGATATAGAGATAAAGAGAAGCCTATTGAGTTATATATAGAGAGAGATATTAAGTTATTGAGATAGTAATTGAGTAATGGAGAAATAGAGAGAAATAGTTATTGATTACTATTGTGCAGGTACATCTGTACCAGGAGCTCCAATTTTGTTCGCTTTGCATTGAATGTTTGTTGTAGTCCTAAGTTTCAGGGACTCTGCAGATAGGTGGCTTCTTTTGGCTGCAATCATAGGGCAAGCCACCTGTCAATTATAGTTAGGTTCCCTGGTCCCACCCCTTTTTGGGTTTTGGAGGGAATAGGAGCCAGTTTGGGTTCAGTCCACACAGAGAAGCTTTCATGCAGGACATAATACCAAGAGCTCCTGTAGAAAGCTTCATCTTCTACGGCTTGGCCGGGGAGATATACAGCCCACAGCTTGGCCGGGGTTATACAGCCCTACAGCTCCTTTGCTGAAGGACTTCAGTCAGCTATCACTGAAACCTGAACTCCTTTTTCCCTGGAAGTCTACAAAGCTCTGCTTGGTAAGGGTCACTCGCGGAAGCCAGAAGCAGTTGGTACCGGGTGCAGGGGCTCCACGCCAACAGAGGCAAAGACAGACTGCCCAGATTAGAAGTTAAGGATTTCCCCATTAGTTAGTATGCAGTTATGAAGATAGTGCCTGTTCCCAGTGAACAAGATTGAGAGAGAGCCAATAGACTGTTAAGAAAGCCTTAAAGTACCTGTTTGTTTTCATTAATAAAGAACTTTGTTGAACCTTTAAGCAATCTAAAGACTTTGTTTTAAGGAAATCCAAGGGCCTTTAATCTGAGGCAGCCGCGGCGTCCCGTTGGGCACACAGAATTTATGTCCTGTCTACAGTCTTATGCACAGGCCCAGCATGCGACAGCACAACTATTGAGCATTACTTCATCTCCAAAACTGACCTTGTGCTTAGATAGAGGAAGACCTGTTCTTTCTAACCAAAGTGGCTCAGGGTTAGGGTGAAAAATCTCAGGATTTTTTCTACCATTTGGAGAAAGGTTACCTCAGTAACTGAAGAAAAAGGGAAAGAAAGAACATCTCTATGGTTTCTCAAATTGACTGGTTTGTGTTGTAACTTTATTAAGTTGTGCCAAGTCTGCCAAGGACTTTGGAAATAAATATTTTGTTGATGTTCATACCTTGACTGGCATCAGTTACTGAAAGTATTGAGTTATTACTTCAAAGAAAGACCCCCAGCAGTTCGTCCAGATAAAGAGAGAAGCACATCTTAGTTTTAACGGTACAGCGTCTGGGTGTGACGGCACAATGCTTTGGGGTTTCCTAGGGGACCCAGTGCTAGGTAAACATATTTCTTCAGACCTGCAAGGACTTTACATACAAACGATGCCCAAACCCAAGACTAGGTTTCTTTCTGCTTTAATGAGGCCGTTCTTTAATTCTGAAGGAAAACAAGTATCCCACAGTTTCTCAATAACAGTGCCTTAATTATTTCAAGCTTAGATTTCTTTTCTTCCAACTAAGAGACAATGGGCCTATTTACTTGTAAGGAAAAAAAGTCCTTCCCACGTAGAGGAGGCTTGGGGTTCAGATCCCTTGAAGAATGAGGCTAACACAATAGACCTGGCTCCAAGGGCCATTTTCTTTCCCAATTTCAAAGCACGCTTTGCAGGACATTAATGGCAGAACCCACTGGGAAATGCCCAGTTCCTGCTTTGAATGGGTTTGGGCATAATTGGGATATTTATTTGCAAGATAAAGTGAAAAGGCGAGGCATTGAGTTGAGTCTGTGCGTCCCATTAGCAGATGGCATACGAGTCATGTATTAATGTTTTTTGCCATAAGCCCTTTTTGAGACAAGTAAATAATACTGGCCACCAAAGATATTTAAAAACGGAATATGGTTCACACCAACTTTATATCTGCCGGAACTTCTGAACAAAACGAACAATCAAAAACCAGGAATGTCGAGTTATTACATTATATACTTATTGCAGCAAGACTACTTTAGACACAAGCATGGGAAACCCCCAAAAAACTGTCCCTAAAAGAAAACGGGATTATAAATTATTGAGAACTGGCTCTTATTTGATAAAGGAGAAGTCAATTGACCTGTTTTTAAAAGAACTTGGACTACTCATATAATTTATAAAGCAAAAAAAAATATATGTCAACATGCTTACGGGTTTTGAAGATTGAGTAAAACGTTGAGACAGTGCAATAGAATGAAGAAAAGGTCTAAGTAATGAAATTAGCGGGATTATGACTGTGCAGGTACAGTTGTACCAGAAGCTCCCACTTTATTCGCTTTGTATCAAGTGTTTGTTTGCAGCCCAAGGCTTGGGATTTTGCAGAAGGGTGGCTTCCTGTTAAAGTTTGCAGTTACAGGCCAGGTCACTTGTCAATTATCATTAGGTTCCCTAGTCCCGCCCCGCCCCCTTTTTGGGCTTTGGAAGGGAAGTGAGCCATTTTGTTAGTCAGTCTCAGTCAGGTTAGCTTTTGTATAGGATGTGTGTAACTTCTCCTGTACAAAGGCTTCAAGCTTTAAGAATTTCCAGGGTTACAGAACCTCCAACAGAAACAGAAGGGAAAGAAATCCAGAGGTGAACAGCTTTAAGAGTCTCCTAAGGAACTCCAGGGAAGCATTCCCTCAGCTTTGGGAA